CGGACTAAGACAAACTAGGAAGAAAGGCCTGGCCATCTACTTCCAAAAATTAACCAATCAAAGCCTCATGCATCAAAACAGAATATTGTCTGATATAGTGCTGGAAGATGAGCCCCCTTGGTTGGAAGGCACTCAAAGTACACAATGGCCTCACCAATGGACTTGAGCATACCAGCGATGTGAAGATGGTGCAGGACCAGGCAATGTTTTGTTCTGTTGTACACGGGGTCCCCACGAGTTGGGGCCAACTCGAAGGCTGCTTACAACAACAAGCAGGGGTGGAGGAGCCCATGAGAGAGACAGAACAGGACCTGCCTGAGAGGTGTGGGGAGACCTGGAAGAAGGTGGGTGGCTAAGGGGGCAGAGAAGCCTGGGAGGTAGGAATGGGCAGGAGGGTCAGTGCTTCTGCGTTTGAATCTGGGCAGTTGTCAGTGATCTTGGGGCGGCGCAGAGTCCAGGGAGCGGTGGGAGTGGAAGCCTTGCGGCAGAGGGTTGCTGATGTTGGACCGGGTATGATCCTAGAGCTGTTGTGTATATGCATGATTTCATGAGGCTGAGAAGGCCCTGGGTGGGGAGTAGGTGCAGATGTGGGGGCACAGATGACAATGGGCCACGTCGTGAAGACAGCCTTAGTTTTGGGGAACACTAAGTCCCTTCTGGAGTTCCTGGGTGGTGCAGTTAATGTGCTTGGCTGCTAACTGAAAGGTTGGAGGTTCAAGTCCATCCAGAGGCACCTCAGAACAAAGCCCTGGCAGTCTACTTCCCCAAGGTCAGCTGCTGAAAACCCTGTGGAGCACAGTTCTACTCTGACACGCGTGGGGTCACCATGAGTCGGAACTGACTCCAGAGCAACCGGTAAGTCCCTTCCCCAATTTAATTCTGAGTTTCTATGAAACGCACGTCTGCCCTGAGGCCCTCCCAAGCCCTGCAGACCAGCTGCACACTGCACCTTGGTGGGTGTTGCCATCGGCCACCACCTGTGCCTCCCCGGTGAAGCATGTGGTGCCAGATTTAATTTGCATTTATTATGCATCTGTACTGTGCCAGAGAGGGTTGGGCCTGTGTGAGGCCCTTTCACATCTGAAGCTGGTTTTGCCACTAGGTGACAGTCCTCGGGATGGGCCGTGTCTGGGAGGTAGTGGGAGAGAGGGTCACTGGGCACCTTGGAGTCAGAGGGATTTGAGTTGGACCCCAGCATGGCTAGTTGGAAGTCTGGCCTTGGTGAACACTGCATTTCATGATTCTCTGAGCCTTTTGCTTCCTCATCTGTAAAATGGGCATAGTGACGGTACCAGGCTCTCTTAGGGTGGCCGAGGGGATGAGAGCTGGTGAATGAATGGGGCCTTCCCAGCAGGGCCCACTGCGTGTCAGGGGTCTAGGGAATGGAGGTTGTTTATTATGAAGAGATGGTGATCCATGGTGCCCTCCTGGGTCTGCCCTCTGGACCCCTGCCTCGTCACCCTCCAGCCTTGCCACCCTCCCTAGTGGACTTCTCGCGGTCCCTCTGATGGGATTGTGCAGAGCCTTTCCCTTGGCTAACAGGGCGCTTCCTGCTGGCCGTGTGCTGATCCCAGTGGGACAGAGCCCCCAGGTGGCCCCCTGTTTGCACGGGTTCCAGCTTTGGGGCTGCTTGGAACATTGTAGCCACATTCCAGGGACATTCCAAGTTTCCACACTGACCAAAGGTCTTAACATTTTATTGTCCTGCTGAGAATAAGGACCAAAGTGCTCAAGGCTCCCCAGCAGGAATCATTTCCAGATGTTTCTGCACTCAGGGCAAAAGGGTCTAGCCCTGCTGAGCCGGCAGGAGGCTTTGAGGCTGCAGCTCATATTTGGGGGATTTGGCACACTAAAATGCAGCCATGGCTCCCCCGTTTCTCAGGGGTAAGGGCAAGCAAATGCCCTTTGTTCATTTAACACAAAATCTAGCCACTGTTTACTGAGAGCTTACTGCGTGCTCGGAACTTTATAAACTTTATCTGCCTTCTCAGCAAGTCAGCATGGGTATTATGAGTCCTATTTTACAGATGAGGAAGCTGAGGCTCAGGGTCCCAGACTGGAAGTGGTGGCATTGGGATTTGAGCTCAAATCTATGTGAGCCCAAGCTTTCCTTCTTTCTACGAAACCCTTGAGCCACTATGTGCCAGCTTTTGTGCCAAGGAATAAGAGGACAAGATATTGATCCTGCAGTTGGGAGGGTAAGGCAGACGACAGACCTTGGAATATTAGGCAACGGTGCAGTGTGTGCCACCACAAGGCGGTGGGGTGGGGCGAGGGGACACCCAGGCCCGATGGGTGGGCAGGAAGGCTGCAATGAGGAGGTGGTGGACTATGGGAGAGACGGGCCGGGGCTGGCAGAGGCTGTGAGAGACACAGGTGTGAGACACAGGCAGGGAGTGGAGTGGGCCTGGCGGATTATGGGGTGAAGGGAGTGCTGGGAGCGGGGAGTGGGATTGGCTGTGTGGGGGAGGTCAGCCTTGGGGTCAGGCCACGTGGCTGGGTCCCAGTCATCCATGGGGTGAGGCACAAAGCCATTGTTACCTGTGACAGATAAGGCCCTGTGTTTTGTGAATGCTTTTGTTAAAATAAATCGGAGCAAAAACGAATGAATGGGTGGATAGATAGGTAGGTAGGTAAGTGGATGGATCAAACCAGTTGCCACCAAGTTGATTCTGACTCATGGTGACCTCATGTGTGTCAGAGTAGAACTGTGCTCCGTAGGGTTTTCACTGGCTGTGATTTTTCAAAAGTTGATCGCCAGGCCTTTCTTCCAAGGTACCTCTGAGTGGACTTGAACCTCCAACCTTTTGGTTAGGAGCTGAGAGCTTAACTGTTTGCACCACTCAGGGATGATAAATGATTGATAGATAGACAGACAGACAGATAGACGATAGATAGATGGTAGATAGGTAGATGGATAGACATGTGGTAGATAGGGAGACAGGTAGATAGATAAATAGGTGGATAGATGATAGACAGACAGACGCATTCAAGGTTTTCCCTTTAAGAGTGCAGCTCTTACTAGTGATGCCTTTCCTGCTGTGGGGCCAGGAGACTCACAACTCCAGACAGTTTATCTGAGCCCCGGCTAATGGTGAGTGCCCACGTTCACTGGGCAGCATTGCTGGGAATACAGAGAGGGGACAGCTGAGGCAGGGACGGACCGAGTGGCCGGGTCGCAGGAGGCTGGTGGGCTTTGCTGGGGGTTGAGTTGTCCCCCTTAACCACACCCACTGGAGACTCCTGCCGCCAGCCTGGGGGCGCCGGTGCGTGTGCGATGGGGTGACGTACAGCTCTCACTACCGAGCCCTGGGGGAGGGGGAGAGCCCTGGAGTTGTAGGTGGGAGACTGGGGCTCAAGGAGAGACCCCTCCTCCCTGCGGCCATGCATTTGGTCCCAGCCTCTGCCTCCTCACCCTCCAACAATGATGCCCCTCCAGGGCCTTTCTGGAGTGGAACCCTCTCCTGGAAAGTTCTCGGTGACTGAGTGGCAGGTCCCCCCTCTCCTGCCTAGGGCAGGACCAGCATTTGAAGGCAGGGTGATCCCAGACGCACCTTTGCATGGCTGGCGGAGGGTGGTCTAAGCTGGGTTTTAGGGAGTCTTGCCTCATGCTGAGCTCAAGCGCAAGCCTCCCTTTGGGGCCACCCCAAGGCCCAGCCTTGGAGAAATCATGAGCTCAACCAGAGCGCCCCAGCCGTTGGGCCAAGAAACGCTGCCAGGCCCGCGTGGTTCACACCCTGCCAGGACCCTGGCGGTGTTTCTCAGAGCCTGATTCTGACGTGTCCTGCTTCGGGTGGCCTGCCTGGCAGCTGCGGCTGGTCACCGTGCCTCCTGGCCTGCTCATGCTCCCCTGGGGGCCGCCCGTGCTGGGGGAGAAGTTACTCCCTGATTGCTCCTTTTGTGGGGCCTGGTGGGCCCTCTCCTCCCACGAGCCGAGGGGCCAGGTTTCTGCGGTGGGCGTCCACTGGGGTGGCAGCCTGGGGTGAGGCTGGAGCCAGATTAGGACAAGAGGGCCTGGGTCCCAACTGGCCATTATCCAGCTTGGAGGGCAGCGGTTTGACCCACCTGAGCCCTTTGTCTGCCCTTTGGGTGAGAAGAAAAGACGCCTTAACCCATCCTCTCTGGCCAGCCAGCTTCGTCTTCGCCAAACTTCCTGTAATTGTTTCTGCAAAAGAAAGGGTCTTGGGGCAGATCAGGGTTGAAATCCATTACCAGCCTCGGTTTCCTCTTCTGTGCAATGGAACTTGAGGCCGCTCTCACAAGTTGCTGTGGCGAGTCAATGAGAGCACAGTCTGAGCGCAGAAGCTCATCTAGAAGTGGTGGCTCTTACCTTCTTAGGAATGTCACCGTTGTGTTTTGGGGGTCCCCCTTTCCACGACGTCCTCCACACCTGGCACGCATGGTTCCTGCTTCCTAGCGTGTTCCCACACAGCGGGCCAGGCCCCGGCTCTTTAGGGAAGCCTCCTTCCGTTGTCCCAGTTTCAGGGAGCAGGCCGCCCCACCTGCACCGTTTGTGTTTAATGGTGTGTTCTGCCTCTGGGCCAAGGGGGAGTCAGGCTGGCTGTGTCCCGACTGCGGAGCTCGTCTGCGGCGCGTTCATGCCTCGTCGTCTCTCTCGCCACCCCCCACCCCGGGCCGTGAAGGCCGGGACTCCAGTTGTATCTCGGTTGTGTGGCCGGGGCAGGACTCCATGGTGCATGCTGGGATCTCCAGTGCCTGTCAGAATTTGATTGGGAAGACAATGGTAGAGGTTTTAGGCCTCTCTGGGAAGGAGTGGGGGTGTGCCCCCAGCCTGGGATGCAGTGGGGTTTTCCGCACGGGAGTGCAGAGTAACTGAAGGGTGAACAGCTGTGTCCCCCGTGCCCCTCTCACACCCGCCCGGTGCTGTGGTAGACACCTAAGGAAGTGCCGGGGGAGGGCGCCCTCGGCACACGGGGAGGACGGCGTGGAGAAGGGCGGGAGCCCCGTCACGTCACCCAGCCTCCTGTCCTCCCTCACAGCGGACACAGACGTTCCCATGGAGACCTGCTGTGCCGACGGACATCGCATGGCTACCCAGCAGAAGGCCTGCTCGCTGCCCTACACCTCGAAGTCCAAAGAGTGCAGGTACGTTTTACAGAGCGGTGTCCCTTAGGGGAAGCATGGACGAGGGGACAGGGTGTGCCTGCCCCAGAGAGACCCTGGGCACCCAGGGCCGGCCCGTTGGTCTTGCCTCCCTGCACCGGCCGCTCTGTCCTTTGCGCCCCCAGCTTCCTCGCACTGGAGTCGATCCCCCTTTCTGTGCTGTCCTGTGCTCGTGCGTCTGTCCCTCACTGGGCTGGGGCAGCTCGCGCCTGAAAGCGGGAGGGTCTGGGTTTGCCACCGGCTCTGCCACAGCCGGCCACTCTGGGCAACGCAGTTTCCTTCTAAGAAAAAGGGGGTTGTGGGAGGAGGTGGGACCGCATAACTGAGAGTCCTTTGCAAATAAAATCATGGATTACCTTAAACCTAAAAACACAGAGGAGCCGGGCCCAGAGCAAACAGTTCTGCCAGACCCCTTGTGCAGTAGCCAACCACTGGACTGAAGATTTTTATTCCTCTCTCCCTAAATTGGTCCCTGGGTGGTGCCAACAGTTAAGCGCTCGGCTGCTAACCAAAAGGTTGGAGGTTCAAGACCACCCAGAGGCACCTCGGAAGAAAGGCTTGGCGACCTACTTCCAAAAAAACCAGCCACTGAAAACCCTATGGAGCACAGTTCTGTTATGAAACGCACGGGGTCACCATGAGTTGCAGTCAACTCAGAGGTAACTGGTTACTCCCTAAAGTGACTCCAGCTCCCTGGAAGTTTCGGGAGAGCATAAGCTTAGCTTAGAATAAGTGATGAAAATTGGCAGTGGTGCTCACGATGCAATGCCATGTGATGTCCATCCAGGTGCCCTGCAGCAATCCCATTGTACAGATGAGCACACCGAGCTTTCGCCAGGGCACACAGCCCGTCAGTGCTGGCTTGAGGATTTGAACCCACACCTGCAAGCGCAGGAAAGGCGAGAGTGTGGAAGCATTCCACCATCTGACATCCAGTTGCCTTCTCCGTATCTAACTGGCAGCCATGGGGTGCTGGGTGGGGAGCTGTCACAGGAGGCATGTGTGAGCGGGGCGCAGGCGGAGGAGGGGGAGGTCTGGTGCCCATTCTGGAGCTCAGTGTTTGGGTTCTCAGTGCGCGTAAGCCGCCGGCCAGCCCGGAAGCAGGATGTAAATCTCAGTTTAGGAATTTTAAAAACCAAAGCACTCCCTATAGACCAAAGGAAGGAAGCGGAAACAGGAGACACGGATTATCTGAGCTGACTGGAAGACCACGCCCTCAGGATTTGCAGAGCGTGTGACGAGCGTGAGCCGAGATGTTGGCTCCTGGCGTGGCGGAGTGCTGGAAATGTCAGCCGGGCCGCCCGTTGGCAGTTGTGAAGCCGGGCGCTCGGCGCCAAGCGTTCTGTTTACAGATGGCGATGACGAGAGGCAGCCTGCCCCGAGCAGGAGTGCGGGCCGGGGAGTTGGGCTGATCTGGGTTGGGTTTCCAGCTGTGTGACTTGAGTCAGCTCCGAGTCTCAGTATCCCCAGATGTAAAACAGGGACCATGATACCTTCCTTTCAGAGTCACTGAAATGATCAGAGGTGACGTATGAAACTAGCGCCAGAAAGCAAAACGCTAGGAGTATTTACTGAAATCAAAGACTTAGGAAAACCCAGAAGAGAGGGAGTCAGCCAGCCGAACCCCCAAAGAGCAGACGAAGGAACTGGGGCCAGAGAGGTCGGGTGGCACTTGGGACCCTACTTGTGAAACGGGATTCTAGAGCCCTGGTGGCGCAGTGGTTAAGCGCTCAGCTACTAACTGAAAGATCAGTGGTTTGAACTCACCAGCCTCTCCGAGGGAGAAAGATGTGGCAGTCAGCTTCCATAAAGATTCAAAAAACCAAAACCAAACCCACTGCCTTTGCGTCGATTCTGACTCATAGCGACCGTATAGGACAGAGTAGAACTGCCCATAGGGTTTCTAAGGCTGTAAACTTTATGGAAACTGACTGCCACATCTTTCTCCCACAGAGCAGCTGGTGGGTTAGAACTGCCGACTTTTCGGTTCACGGCTGAGTGCTTTAACCGCTGCGCCATCGGGGCCCCTTTCCATAAAGACTACAGCCTGGGAAACCCTATGGGGCAGTTCTACTCTGTCCTATAGGGTCGCTATGAGTTGGGATTGACTTGACGGCAGTGGGTTTGTTTTGTTGAAGTTTGTTATAAAGGAGCTCTGGTGGTGCAATGGTTAAGCGCTCAGCCGCTAACCAAAAGGTCAGTGGTTTGAACTCACTGGCCGCTCCACAGGAGCAAAAAGACCTGGCAATCTGTAAAGATTACAGTTTAGGAAACCCAACGGGGCAGTCCTACTCTGTTGTGTAGGGTCACGTCGTTGCTCTCAGACAATTTAGTGAAATGCCCGTTATTTGCAAATCCACCGAAAGCATGTGTAAAATGTATGCTAGCACAGTATAGACAAATCTGTCCTGGAGCCTGAGGGCAGCTCTGGAAGCACAGGGACAGCTGGGTACAGACCTTCAGCCCCACAAGGGCAGGGGTGGGAAAAGGGGGGCTGAGAGCCACTATCCGCGGCAGAGGTGGCCCACCCTCTTGGCCTGGACAGGTGTAGGCTGGGCGGCTCCTCTCGCCTCTGCTGGCTTTGGCAGCAGCTGGAGCTATTTTGGATTTGGTTGGGAGCCACCAGTGACTCACACACAGCTCTCACCCGCCTGCCCGAGAAGCCAGTTCCTCCTGCCTCCACACTTGGCTCCTTGGGCCCCGAGGACTTTCTCCCTGGAGCCCCTGACAGGGCTGGGAGATGTGTGTGCCATGGCCGGGCACCGCCATTGCCACCGTTGCTACCATGCCTTGGGCCAGCCCCCTCACTTCTGTGAATGCGTCACCTCTGAATCTGGCCACTGGGGGGATGATCCTTGCAAAGGATTCAGTCTCATAAAGGGTGAAAGGGTCTGGCCTGGTGTTGGCACCAGCATCTTTTGTTCTAGAATGTGGGAGTGTTGTCGGGGTGAGACTCAGAGGTCTGAGGTGAATTGGTTGCTCCAGGCTGCAAGGCTGGGTCTCGACTCGCACCCCAGTCACCACCTGCATTTGTTCTTTATTGAGCGCCTTCTGTACGGGTGCGTGTGCGGAGGGGAAGCCGCGTGTGCAGGGGGAGGCCACGCGACAGATGGCAGAGCTCCCGTTGTGAGGGCTCCTGCCCTGCCCATGGAGCCCTGGCCCACTGCCCTCCACCTGCAGGATGGTCCAGGAGCAGTGCTGCCATAGCCAGCTGGAGGAGCTGCACTGTGCCACCGGCATCAACCTGGCCAACGACGGCTGCACCACACCGCAGGGGGACAACGCCGCCAGCCTCGAGGCCATGTTTGTGAAGGTGAGGCCCGGGGCGCTGGGCCTGCTGCCTGCTCCCCTCCCAGCCGGCAGGTCCTGGCTCCCCCTCCCAGCTCAGCATGCCCCACATTCCTTTCCAGCCAGCAGGACCTGGGCCCCCTCCTAGACAGCAGGCCCTGACTCTCCCAGCTCAGCAGGCCCTGGGCTCCCCAGGCCCTGCACCCCCTGCCAGCCAGCAGGCCCCAGGTTCCCTCCCAGCTCAACATGCCTTGAGCCCCACTCCCAGCCAGCAGGCCCTTCCCCCTCCCAGCCAGTGCTGTCCATCAGCAGGGAGCCTGGGCTCTTTCCCTCTGTGCCCCTGCTCTGAGTCCACCTCTCCTGTGAGTGTGCGGCAGCGGGGGTGCCCAGCCAGGAGGGTGGCAGAACCGTGCATGTCCCCAGCTCCTCGCGTTTAGTCAGGAAACCCTGGCCCGGCCCACGCTGGGGAGACAGGGATGATGTGACCAGCCTTGCTGAGGACCTCCAGTCCCCGGACAGCAACACAGAGGCCAGCAGGGGTCCTCTGAGGTCAGGGCCTTAGGAGCTTCTTCTCTGCTCAGGGTAGGGACCCTCCATTCCCCCACCCCCAGGAGCCCCTACAGCTTCCCTGCCCTAGGGCTCATTGGGTGGAGCTCAGAATGGGCCCCCCCAAGGCCTCTGATGTTACATGACCACAGCCATCCTAGAGGAGGAAACTGAAGTTCAGGGAGGACCACACCCCAAAGTGGCCTCTCAGCAGCGGCCCTGAGGGTCCTCCCGCACCCAGCAGGTGAGGGGCCTGGGAGGCAGCAGGGCAATCTCTACACAGCCAATCCTGGGTCTCCAAGGCCAGGCCAGGTGACTCAGGTCCCTGTCACTGTAGAAGGTGAGAAGTTCCTAACAGCACACCTAGCTCTGAAAACTGTAAATAAAGGAATGCCGTCAGACTGTCGGAGCCCTGGTGGCTCAGTGGTTAAGAGCTCGGCTGCTAACCAAGAAGTTGGCAGTTGAAATCCACCAGGCGCTCCTTGGAAATCCTATGGGGCGGTTCTACTCTGTCCTGTAGGGTTGCTATGAGTCGGAATCCACTTGACGGCAAAGGGTTCAGTTTTTGGTTTGGTCAGACTGTCCCTCCCTGCTACCTGCTGAGGGGGGAAAAGCAAGACTGACAGGGAGCTTGGGTTTGGAAGTCAGCCTGATCCTCAGGCTTCTGCTGGAGGTGCCGGGTGAGGGGAATGAGTTCCCTGGAGAAAGATGTCCCATCCCCAGTTAGGACGGTGAGGAAGGGACTGCAAGGAGCAAGAATCCAAAGGAATGAAGTCAGGATTCCAGGAGGGGCCGTGGGTTCTCTGGCCCAGCCCTTTCTGTCTGGGAATTCTCTCCCCACACAGTCTGGGATGTGGAGAGGACTCCGCAGGCCGGGAGTGGGGTCCAGGGCCCACCCACTCTGGGCCTCTGCAGGCTTTCGTGCAGGGAGGCTGCTGGCACAAGGGAGCTGTGTAGGGTGAGGGTGGGTTGGTGTGGTCCGGGGTTTCCTGGGAATCCCGAGCGTCTGATGACCGTCTCCAGGACAGGGCTGGGCTCTGCAGACGCCGTCCGTCTGGCAGACGGCTGTGCCAGTGTCCCCAGACATGAGAGAAAAGGAGGTGTGGAAAAGTGTGGAACATTCTGTGGGAGTGGGAGCAGATCTCTTCGGCAGACGAGTGATTTGTGTTTCTGGGAAGCATGACTCACACCCTGAAAGGTGGACTCGTTAACAAGCACTCCCACTCTTTTCTGGCAGCAGCGGGGTAGAATAAGCAGTGTGGAAGGCCCATCAACCTTCACGGAAACTACAGCAAAAACCACACCTCCTGGGCTCCCACTCTGGGCTTTCTGGAAAGTTCTGAGTCCTTTTTAGGATCCCCACTTAGGGAGGACTGAAGTGGGGCTTTTTGTGGGCAAGGGGAGTGTGGTTCAGGAGCTCAGGCATGAGGACATGGGGCTCACATGTACGTTGGGGAACGCAGGGGTGCAGGAGACAGGCAGTCACTCTGTCCCTTGCTTTATCCCTTGCCCGGGGACACTCGTGCTTGTCAAATGCAGGCTGTCTTTCCTGCTGCCCAGACCACCGAACGGGCTTGGGAGAGAGGGACACAGTCCTCATGCCTTCTTTGGGGCCTGGCTAGAAAAATCTTAGACCACACACAAGGAACGGGCTCCTTGGGGGGCTCTTGTGGCCCCTGTACGAGGCTCCGCATTCCTGGAGGTGTGTAGGCAAAGCCCGCTGGCCACTGGACAGGGGTGTTGAGGAAGGCAGTTGGGTATCGGGGCAGGAGGGGTGGGTGCAGCACATGCCGGGACCTACGAGATTTGGGAGCAGTAAGGCCCAGGTTACTGCCAGCCGAGCCCCCCGCCCGGGCCCCACCTGGCCGACCAGCCAGCTTCTCCGTGTGGTCTCCACCTGTCTGCAGAGGTGCTGTCACTGCTGCCTGCTGGGGAGGGCGGCCCAGGCCCAGGGCCAAAGCTGCGAGTACAGCCTCATGGCCGGCTACCAGTGTGGGCTGGTCTTCCGGGCGTGCTGCGTGAAGGGGCAGGAGAGCGCAGACTTCACGCCGGGGGACGTCGGCGACCTCCAGGAGACAGGTAGGTCCCCTCTGCCTTCCCTCCTGGGTGGGGAGGGCGTGCACGGCCAGCTGTCTAACTCAGCACAGACTGATCTGAGTTGTCGGGCATTTCCGAGAGGCGGGACCTGGGGGGAGACGGAGAGCATGTGCTCCAGAGTCGGACCGATCTGGGGTCATGTCCTGGCCCTAACATGAGCTTCAGGTGAACTGATTTATCCAGGCCTCAGTTCTCCCATCTGTGATGTGGGGATAATCACAGTCCTGCTTCATAAGTTGCCCAGCTCGGGTTGAGCGCTCCGGGAACCTTTGCGAGCCTGATTTCCCCCGGCCTCCCCTGGCCCCAGGCTCCCCTGGCCCTGAGCAGCGGCCAGCAGCTGGCCTCACCCTCCTTTCGCAGAGGAGGACCTGATGCTCAAGGTCACGTGGCTGACACGCAGAGGAGGGAGAACCTGGCTTCCCGACTCCTGGCTGGTGCCCGCCCCCACCCCCGCCACATGGAGCCAGTGACGCGTGGGCTGGAGAGTGGAGGCATCACGCTTTGTAGTGAGCTGTGAGCTTTCAAATAATAGTCACTTATCAGCAAAGGAGGAGTCCCTGGGTGGAGCAAATAGTTAAGCACTGGACTGTTGTTCTTGTGAGCCCTCTAGACTTTTCTCCCCCAGAGCTGCTGGTGGGTTTAAACCCAGCTGAGCACTTAACCATGGCACCACCAGGTTGGTGGTTCAAATCCACCTGGAAACCCTGGTGGTATAGTGGTTAAGTGCTAAGGCTGCTAACCAAGAGGCTGGCAGTTCGAATCCAGCAGGCACTCCTTGGAAGCTCTATGGGGCAGTTCTACTCTGTCCTATAAGGTTGCTATGAGTCAGAATCGACTCGACGGCAACAGGCTTGGCTTGGGCTCAGATCCACCCAGAAGCACCTTGGAAGTAAGGCCTTGATGATCTGCTTTTGAAAGGTCACATCCTTGAAAACCCTATGGGGTCGCCATGAGTCCAAATAGACTTGATGCCAACTAACAGTGACAACTTCAGTAGGTGGGTGAGCGGCCCCCAGAGCCATTTCATGAGCATGCCCAGCTGTCTGTCCTCCGCCCTCTGTTTGCCTAAAGCCCTGGGGATGGTTCAGCTCCATGGTTCAGGAAACTTCCTGGTTTCTGATAACCTCTCATTTATGGGGTAGTTTCCGGCCTTAATGGAGATAACCCTGGAAAAATTCAAGAGTCCGCTCTGTCCCACCCTTGCTGTGGGACTTTGGGCCCTCTTCCCTCTGAGCTTCATACCCTGTTACAACTGGGTGAGATTATGGAAGGGGTTCTGAGAGAAGAGTTCACAGCTCCAACCACAGTCTCTAAGTCAGGCCTCCTTCACTGCAGCTGCACCCCCGGTGGCTTTGGGGTCCTGGGCCAGATGGACCAGTCTTTTTTTCAGTTGAGGGCTGCAGAGACGCCATGGGCTGGTGTACAGCCGTCCCAGCCATAAAGGGGCACTGGGGGACCCATTCTGGTTCCCTGCTTGGTTTTGAAATCAGAGATAACATTTTCACTGTAAACAAACCCAATATTAATCCCGGTGGGAGAGCACTCCTCTGCGTCTCTGGGGAGGATTTCCCCTGGTTTATGGCTTGTTTTATGAACGCACTCTGGAATTTCTGAGGCTCCAGATGTCTTATCGCTCTCCCGTCTTTCATCTGCTTCAGTTCCTGCCCGGACTTTCCTCAGATGTGCCTTCCTCCCTCCTGCTAACATTTACTGTGGGCCTAGCGTGTCTCCTGCAGGGCTGCTCTGAGGGGCCACAGACTGGTGCTGGCCTGTGATGAATTAAGTACAGAAACTGGGAGTAAGCCTTTAGAAACTTCTAGAAGCATTTGATCCCTGGATGGTGTAAACAGTTTAACACTCATGTGCTAACTAAAAGGTTGGAAGTTCGAGTGCACCCAGACATGGCTTGGAAGGAAGGCCTGGCGATCTACTTCTGAAAAATCAGCCACTGAAAACCCTGTGCAGCACAGTTCTACCCTGACACACATGGGGTCATCGTGAGTCAAAGTTGACTCAATAGCAACTGGTTTATTGGATCAACGTATTGGTCCCAGACTGGGGAAAGAGAGCTGGTCATTTGCCACAGTTAGTTTGAGAACTGTGCTCGGGCATCTTGTGGGTCCAGTGATTCCCATTCTACACATTGAGACACTGAGGCTGGGCAAGCTCAGGGTCAGATCTGTTTGCTAGCAGGTCTAATGGTCTTTCCAGGCTTGCTGGCCTCCATGGAACATGGCACAAACCTTGATGACCTCATCACACGGGTGGTAACTAGTTTCTGATGGGCCCACCCTCCCTCCTCACTGTGAGCCCTTTGAGGGATGGGATTGGATCCATACGTGCCTCTGGGCCCCCTGGCCTGTGCCTGGCACATGGAGGGGACTTGGTGTTTTTCCTGAATTGCATGCATCGAGGGAATGAAGTGTCTCCAAATTAAATAAACCAGATGGAAGGTGCTTCCCAGACTCCTAGCCAGGAAGACATGACTCCACCCTAAATGGCCTTTGCTTAGTTAGCTCCTCCCCAGATTAGAAGTTCTTTGAACGCTCATTCAGTTTATTCAACAAATGGGTTGGAGGGTCAAGGACACAGCATAGACAAGGTCCCTGTACCATATGGGGTCACCATAATTTGGAATTGACTCAACAGCAACAGGTTTTAACAGGCATCATATTTTAATAAGAAGTCTTGGTGGTGCAATGGTTAAGAGCCCAGCTGCTAACTGAAATGTCAGCAGTTCAAACCCACCCAGCGGCTCCTTGGCGGAAAGACCTGGCAATCTGCTCCTGTAAAGATTACAGCCTAGGAAACCCTATGGGGCAGTTCTACTCTGTCACATGGGGTTGCTATGAGTTGAAAACCAACTTGATGGTGCCTGAAAATAACATATTTTAATAGCTCCTAAAATACATAGTTAGTACATATAAGTTATATACATAGTGCATATAAGTTAGGCTACATTGACTTTTAGACAGCATTACTGATATTTTTTTCTTAATGATGTTTATTTTTCCACTATGCTTATATTATGCTCATGGCAGGCGTTTTAGAAAATATAGAAGGAAAGAAGGAAAAGAAACTCAGCCCCAGAGATAAACACTGTTTCCCTTTGGGCATGTTGTTTTCTATGTCTAGCATAGTTTCTTCCACATAGGTGTGATCATGCTGTGGCTACAACATTGATTTATGCCTTTTCCACCTACTACTGCCACGTCATTGCTGTTCAGTTGTGATCAGTCATTTCCTCCTGTGGAAACGTCCTAAATACCAGAGGGCTTGATTTTTGAGTATTTCTAGGGCTTCTTCCTACCCATAAGGAAACATGGTGGTGCAGTGATTAAGCATTAGGCTGCTAACTGAAAGGTGGGCGGTTCCAACCCACCAGTCCATGGAAGAAAGATGTGGCAGTCTGCCAACGTAAAGATTACAGCCTTGGAAATCCTATGGGCAGTTCTTCTGTGTCCTACAGGGTCGCTATGGGTTGAAATCGACTCATGGCAATGGGTTTTTTCCCCACCCATGTGCTGCATAAGCCTCTTGCCCCTTATGGTCCTTTGTCCAAGGAAGCTGGGTAGAAAAGGACATTGGCAGGAACTTCTCGTGTGCCCAGCCTGGCTCCTGATCCCTGTTGTTGGCTTCAGAAGCAGCCACATCCGGCTTTGACTGCCCCGTGGGTGTGGGGACTCTGCCATTGCACCCCTGGCGGCTAGAGGGCCAGCAGCTGCACGTGGGCTGTGACTTCTACACCCTTGGCTGTAACTGCCCGAGTTGAATGGACGAATCCATTTCTCTGTTATGCCAGAGCTACCAGTGGCTTCACATTTGGCACTTAGCCCCTATCTGAGTCTCCTGTGACTGCCGTAACAATGTACCACAAGCTCGGTGGCTTATAAGAACAGACATTTACTGTTGCATGAGTCAGGAGCCTTGAGATCCAAGCTCAGTGCGTGGCTCTGGGGAAGTCCTTCTTTGTTCCAGCGTTTGGTAGCCAGCCATCCTTGGGGCCCCCCAACGCCTGTTTGTGCTTGCCGCTGTGTCTAACCTGCTCCTTTTAGGACTCGGAAGTGATTAGGGTTAGGACTCACCCTGTACTGATATGGCCTCATTAACGAAACAAAGAAAACCCTATTCCCAAACGGGATTACATCCACGGGTACAGGAGTTAGGATTCCAACACATATTTTTGGGGGGAGAGGGGTACAATTCAATCCATAATACAGCCAAAGTGTACGAAGTAAGCTTTTACCATGTGCATTGTTTCAGGTTTGGGGGATGTGACTTGCTTTACATTAGGGCTGTGACTGCGTTTGCTCAAACATTCGAGGTATTTGGACTCCGTAACAGCACTCAGCGTGAAGTTGATGATTATAGGAAATTGTGCCAGTGTTGTTTCTGTTATCATAGATCTCTGAGATTTCATTACACTTATGAGCATAGTTCTGTTTTAAAAAGGATAAAATGAATACTTAGCTGATTGTAGTATTTACAAATGGGCATTAAAACAAAAAAAAAAAAAGAAAAAAACAGTTGCTGTTGAGTCGACTCTGACTCATGGTGACCCCATGTGAGTCAGAGTAGAACTGTGCTCCACAGGGTTTTCAGTGGCTGCTGTTTCAGAAGTAGATCTCCCGGCTTTTCTTCTGAGGCACCTCTGGGTGAACTTGAACTGCCAGCCTTTCAGTTAGTTGAGCACTCAACCATTTGCGTCACCCAGGGACTCCTATAAATGGGCATTACTGGCTGATGTTTACAAGAAGATACAGTATTTGAAGTTTCTTCTAGGATGAAACAATGTGTTCATATGGATGCTTGCCTTTTTTTCCCTTCCCCCTTAGCTAAAATTTCTGAGGGTGAGGAGGAACAAGAAGACCCGTACCTTAATGACCGCTGCCGAGGTGAGAATCCGTCATCTCCCCGTGCCTTTCGGTGCTTCATCAAACCTGAAAGAAAGTCGACGCTAATCTCATTGGGAGTTTGAGCCCCAGTGGTTTTGTTCAGGTTCACCCCGGGAGGTGCCCTTTGGCGGGGAGTCAGGTCTGTCATCCTGCCACTCCTGGGCTCCTGCCTTCTTCCCTTCAGCGTCCTTGGACCTGTGGCCTGGTGGGGAGGGCTGGAGAGGGGTGGGCTTACAGAGAAGGGGCCGTAGGTGGAAAGCTGGCATTGGAAGCCCTAGCACCACGTGTTCTGCCTGAACATTCCCAAGTTACAGGCTCTGTGGACGCCAGCTTGGGGTCCCTTGGGATGGGGCAAAGTGTTATTGATCTTTGTGACCCTGAGACCAAGAACGCCTGACCCAGAGAGGACATTCAGTAATGTTCATTTGTCCCGCAAGAGAGCCGTTTTCCAATGAAGGCTTCAGAGGGGCTTGTAAGTTTGTTTTTCATGTGATAAAGCTTTTCTTTCATGCAACAGTCTGGCATGTCAAGACCGGTAGGTCTGCTCCACAGGTTCATTCGGTGACTCGCCCTGTGGTCGGGGAGAGAGTCACTGGGTTAAGTAGGGACTCAGCTTAAGGGCACAAGCATGTGCTCAGTGGTTAGGGACGGTCGGCACCGAGTCCTGGCAGGGAGGGAAGGAGCAGAGAACCCCAGAAAGCCTCTGTCTCAGCTTTCTAGTGCTGCCATAACTAAATAGCAGAAAGAGGATGGCTTTCAGGAACAGAAATGTACTGTCTCACAGTTTTGGAGGCTAGAAGATCCAATCGGGGTGTTGGCCATGCTGACTCCGCCCAGGGGCTGAGAGAGGGACTGTCCCAGGCCTCGTCTTAGCTTCTGGTGGCTGCTAACAGCCCTCGGCGTTCCTTTGCTGCTTAGAGATGAATTCACAGTGTCTTCCCTTGCGTGGGTCCACGTCTCTTCTCCCCTTTCATAAGATGCCACTCAGAAGGATTAGGGCTACCCACTCCAGTATGACCTCTTTAATGTCACTGATAATATCTTCAAAGAAAGACCTGATTTCCCCAAACAAGAGCCCGTTCACAAGTATCGGGGTTAAGACTTCACGTATCTTTTTGAGGGACGCGATTTAATCCACAGCAGCCTCGTGATCCTCTCTGTGACCCGGGAGGGTCTTCCAGGGGGAGTTGTTACGACAGCTGAGGAGGGTGGCACAGACCGGGTATCTTAGGCAGCGGAGGTGGAGGCATGGAGCCACACCAACGGCGCTGTGCCACAGCAGATGGGCGCTGGTGGGAGTGGTGGGGGTGGAGGGGTAGAGGAGGGTGCTGGAGAAGTGGGCAGGGGCCCTACAGGGCCTGGGCAGCAGCTGGAAATTTATCCCATAGGATCATTACCTGGTAGAGATTTATCCTGATGGACCTGCCCATTGGACACTAGGGCTGCCCCATAGGGAGAGTGTGTTGTGGGGCGACACCAGGGAGACTTGGGGAGACCTGGTGAGCAAGTGGCGGGAGCTGAGGCTGTGTAGTGGCAGTCCCTGCTTGAGAGAGATGTGGGGACAAGCTGGGCCTGCCCAGGGCCCGGCCCCATGTGGGGTCCGTCGCTGCTCGGTGTTCTTCTCTGCCCGGCCCCTCCCAGCTCCATAGAACTTACAGAGACTGCCCTGCATTCCCCCCATGTTGTCAGCCAGAGCTGAGACTTAACGCGGCAGCCCCCTGGGGGTGCCCAGAGCCAGACCTGGGAATCTCCTGCAGGGCAGGGGGTGGGAAGGTGGTGGGTGGGCTCTGGCCCGTGGACTCCGCCTTTCTGCATCCTCTGCTCCGTGGAACTGGAGAAAGTGGAGGTTTGCAGGGGTTCGGCACCCCCGCCCCCTGCTCACACGTGCTCTGTCTGCAGGCGGCGGCCCTTGCAAACAGCAGTGCCGTGACACGGGGAATGAGGTCGTCTGCTCTTGCTTTGTGGGCTACCAGCTGCTGTCTGACGGCGTCTCATGTGAAGGTAAAGGTCCCGATGCTGCACCTGTGGCCTGAGCCTGTCCCTGAGGTCCCAGCAGGTTGCGGCTTTGCACAAGGGGGGGGGGGCTGCAGTGTTGGGGACACCGGTGCTGCATTTCTGGTACTCCCCGGAGTTGAGTGGTGCCCAGGCCACATCCAGAGAAGACAGACCACATGCTGGGAAAGAGGGCTGGGGTTGGGGTCAGACAGGGCTCTGAGTCCAGGATCAACAGAGGGGCTTTGGGCAAGTCCCCCATCCTCTGGTCCCCAAGAGGGGGACGGTGACACACTCCTTATGTGCTTATTGAGGGTCACGTGGTCCCAGTCCAGGGCTGGCACTTAATGAGTAGGTGCTGTGAAAGAACAATCTCTCTGAAACAGCAGGGGACTTTGTAGCGAGGCCCCACTATGCCCCTCTAGGCACAGCCCTGGTGTGTCATAGCGGGAACCCAGCGAGGTTGAATGGGGACTCGTGGATGTTGAGAGCCAGTTCCCCTGTGCCTTCCGGGAGATTCCTTTGGATGACGCGTTCGAATCTGCGCTCTTGCTGGTTACTCCTTGCCGTCTCGCTCTCTCCTAGATGTCAATGAGTGTATCACTGGCAGCCATAACTGCCGACTCGGCGAGTCCTGCATCAATACCGTGGGCTCATTCCGCTGTCAGCGGGACAGCAGCTGCGGGACAGGCTATGAGCTCACGGAGGACAATGACTGCAAAGGTTAGCACCTGCTCTGGCCCAACAACCCGGCGCCCGGGAGTATACGTGGTGCAGTGGGCTCTCTGGTCAAGGGCTCTGGTGGTGCAGTGCGCCCATGTGGCTGCCAGGGCTGCCGGCTTCCCCTCTGTGGGGTGTTGTTCGCTGCCGTCAAGTTGGTCTCCAGCTCATGGTGACCCTACGCACAAGGGAACAAAATGTCACCTGGTCCTGTGCCATCCCCATGATTGGCTGCAGATCAGACTGTTGTGATGTGGGTGGCTATACCTGCTTGGGGGGTCCCTGGGTGGTGCAAATGGCTAATGCACTCAGCCGCTAAATGAAAGGTTGGAGGTTCCAGTCCTCCCAGAGGCACCTCAGAAGAAAGGTCTGGCAATCTATGTCTGAAAAATCAGCCATTGAAAACCCAATGGAGCACAGTTCTACTCTGACACACATGGGGGTGCCATGAATAGGAGCTGACTTGACGGCAACTGGTTTTTTATACTGACTTGACCAGTACCGGGGGTGTCATGGGGGGAATGAGGTTAAACGTGACAGTGTGGGTAGAAGCGATCAGAACACTGAAAAGCTGACAGCAGCCCCCCAGTCCCAGCCAGTTCTGTCATTGGTGCCTTCTGCAGTGCCAAGTTAATGCCAGTGGCGAGTGTGAATTTCTGAAAAGCCCCAGTGCACAATTGTTTAAAAACCACATCCGGGATGAATTTCAGGTGCTCACTTGTGCTTTCTACAAAAAAACAAAAACAAAAGCAGATTTTTATTTGTGCAGCAGCTGCCTTCCATCCAATTGTAGGCTTCCTTGAAGTTCAAAGCATATTCCCTTCCGCTGTCTGAAAACATGACATTTCTGGCTGCCGGCCTTTTGCCACCAGGACCTACACGTTACTTGGCAGATAAGGCTCTGATGAGGATCGTTTAGAATGTAGTTTTCTGCAGAGGGTTTTGAGCCTTGCAGAATGACAAAACCACTTGTGTGAAAACGCTGACCGAGTCAGGAGGCTAACTCCAAAGCAAGGCACGTCTCCTGCCATCTGAGGGCTTTTGAGAAGGTTCAGTTCATTCCATCCCTGTGGACTTGCTGGGTGGTTTGGATACTGAGAACCCAGTGGCTGAGCCAGCTGAGTATACACATTTGAACATCTGACATCCTTGAACTTCAAGGGAAGGCAGCCTGGTTATCTGATCATGATAGTCACCACTGTTAATATTTGAAATATTGTGAAGACTTCCAAATGAATAAGTTTATAGGGATCATGTTTATTGCCACTAAGATAATTATGTTGTGATCTAAACTAAACATACACTTAGCTGGGAATGAAAAAAATATATCTGTCAGGAAGATGCCTGAGTTATTTATTATATAGCAGAAAGCTTGCTTCATAAGAGCCGGGGAACAAAGTCAGCGTTTAAGTCTTTAGCAGTGCAAGTATTACTTGGCTAGCTGAAGCCCTGTTTGTATTGGAGCTTTCTATGGGATTGTTTTGGGTTATATTTTGAGTAATGGGCATTAAAAAAAAAAAAAAAACTTGTTATTTTAAAGTGTTGTAAGATGCTTCTGGCAGAACTCTTGCTAACAATTTCCTTTTTTTATGATGTACCAGATATTGACGAGTGTGAGAGTGGTATTCATAACTGCCTCCCCGATTTTATCTGTCAGAATACTCTGGGATCCTTCCGCTGCAGACCCAAGCTACAGTGCAAGAGTGGCTTTATACAAGATGCTCTAGGCAACTGTATTGGTAAGACACACTGCTGCAGGGCTGCTGGGGTCCTCAGGGCGGGCAGACAATCCAGTTATGGGGCTAGAATATCAGGCGTTGCGCAGTCCTCAGAACAGGACCAGATGGTAATTACCTCAGGCATTGCAGGACATATGGTTTCTGTAGCAGTTTCTCAACTCTGCTGTTATAGCTTGAAAGCAGCCACAGACAATGCGTAAACAAATGGGTGAGGCTGTGTGTCAATAAAACTTTATTTACAAAAATTGTCAGCAAGCTGGATTCGGGCCAAGGGCCATAGTTTGCCAACCCCTTGCATAGACAGAAAGAACCCTGGTGGCACAAATGGTTAAGCACTCAAATGCTAACTGAAAGGCTGGTGGTTTGAACTCACCCAGCCACTCTGTGGGAGAAAGAATTGGTGATCTGCTTTGCAAAGATTACAGCTAAGAAAACCCGACGGGGCAATTCTACTCGAATTGACTCAATGACACCTAATAACAACAGTATAGATGGAGTCCCTGGGTGGTGCAAATGGTTAACACATTTGCTGCTAACCATGCTTGGCAGTTCAAGTTCACCCAGAGGCACCTCAGAAGAAAGGTCTGGCAATCTACTTTCAAAAAATCAGCCATTGAAAACCCTATGGAGCACAGTTCTACTCTTACACACACGAGGTCACTGTCCGTTGGAATCACCTCGATGGCAGCTGATTTGGTTTTTGATTAGTATAGATGAAAGATCTTGAGTTATGGAATCAGAGACACCTGGTTTTGAACTGAGTGACCTAATGGAATTTTCTCTTGGCGCCTCAGTTTCCTCCTCTGTAAAATGAGAATAATAAAGATCTGGCTGATGGGCATGAGGCAAGGATTAAACAAGGTGATTGTGAAGCACCTGGTTCCGGGGGAAGCACTTGATAACGTGGTGGTTCCCTGCCACAAGCCATTTTAGTGGTTAAAAAATTGTTTAAAAAAATACGGCGTTGATATCAGAGGAAGCTCAATGGGAAAGGAAAAGATAGTACATGTGAATTTAGTGTAAAAATAGAAGGTCTGGGTGAGACTGTGTAAGTGCGAGGAGCCGTGTGGGTCGCCAGCCAGTTACCTGTTCTGTAAAGGCAGGAGTGGGCCCCTCCTTTCTCCTGGAGTCGCCCGGGTGAGCCACCTGGCTCTGTCACTGTTTCATGCCAGCGTTTGAGTACGGATCCACCGGCCTTCCCTCAGAGGCGAACTAAGGCATGGTAGGCAGGGCACGTGCCCTGGGCACTGCTTCAGGAGGGCGGTAACGAGTAGTTTCTATTGGCCATTGAAGTTTCTCCATGGGAGAAAGATGTGGCAGTCCGCTTCTGTAAAGATTACAGCCTTGGAAACCCTATGGGGCAGTTCTACTCTGTACTGCAGGGTCGCTATGGCAGTGATTTTTTTGGGGGGTTGTTGTTAGGTGCCCTTGAGTCGGTTTCGACTCAGCAATCCCATGCACAACACAACGAAACACTGCCCGGTCCTGCGCCATCCTCACAATCATTGTGCTTGAGCCCATTGTTGCAGCCACTGTGTCAATCCATGTCGTTGAAGGTCTTCCTCTTTTTCACGGGCCCTCTGCTTTACCAAGCATGATGTCCTTCTCTGGGACTGATCCCTCCTGACAACATGTCCAAAGTACGTGAGACAAAGTCTCGCTGTCCTTGCTTCTGAGGAGCATTCTGGTTGTACTTCTTCCAGGACAGATTTGTTCGTTCTTCTGATAGGCCCCTGCCTTCCCTTGTCCTCTGCTCGACAGAAGCTTCTGGGTCCTGCCTTTGAAGTCAGAGAGACTTTTCTGATCCGAGTTGTAGGCAGGCCCTGGTTAGAACCTAAAAAAAAACAACAGACAAACCCATTGCCGTGGAGTCAAATCCGACGACACCTCTTAAAAGGCCAGCACCGCTGTGGGCCAGGTGCTGCGAACCTCTGTTATTTGAGAGACCTCAGCCTTAGATAAATCCATACTGCTCTTGGATTTGAAATGGTAGTTAGCCCTGAAAGTTGTTTGTCTTTTTTCTACCCTACATATATATATATTTTTTCATTTTTTTTGGGAAAATATATACAGCAAAACATACACCAGTTGAACAGTTTCTAGATGTGCAATCCAGTCACATCGATCGCTGCGAGCTGCGCCACTCTCATCATCCTTTTCCAGATTATTCCACTACTGTTAAGAGAAACTCACCACCACCCGCTAAGCTTCCTGTCTGACCTTTCCAGATGCTGTTGTCAGTTTGATCCCACGTAGATAATTCTTTAAAAGAGCACAATGCTCAAGGCAGACATCCATTACTAATTAAGCTAAACTACTGTTTGGTTGAAAGATGACTTCAGGGGACAGTTTTGGTTTAAGGTTTAAAGATTATCTCAGGGCAATAGTTGCGGGGAAGGGGGGAATGCGCCATCCAGCCTCCATGGCCCCCGATTTTATGAGAACCCTGGTGGCGTGGTGGTTAAGAGTTTGCCTGCTAACCAAAAGGTCAGCGGTTTGAATCCACCAGGCGCTCCTTGGAAACCCTATAGGGCAGTTCTATTCTGTCCTGTAGGGTCAGTATGAGTCAGAATTGACTCCACGGCAACGGGTTTGCTTTTGTTTTGGATTCTATTAAAATTTGAAATTCTGTTCCACATTTTCCCCCTTTTAATCAGGATTCTGCTATAGAATCTTTGATCAAAACGTTCAGTAATGGTAGCCAGGCACCATCTAGTTCTGGTCTCATGGCAAAGGAGGCAGTTGTTCATGGAGTCACTTAGCCACACATTCCATTTTTCCCAACTATTCCTGACTCTCACGGGAGCCCTGGTGGTACAGTGGTTAAGTGCTCGGCTGCTAACTGAAAGGTCGGCAGTTTGAACCCACCAGTGGTCCGAGGGAGAAAAGACCTGGTGGTCTGCTTCCGGAAAGATTACAGCCTTGGGAACCCTCTGGGGCACTTTTACTCTGTCCTGTGGGGTCTTTATGAGTCAGAACCGACTCCAGGGCACCAGGGATGGCAGGTAGGGCACGTGCTGCTTGAGGAGAGGCACTAATGAGCAGTTTCTGTTGGCCATCCCTGTTTCCACTGTGTGAGAGATCATTCAGCAATTTAAAACTAATTGCCACAGGCACTATTTTCCCTTGATAGGCCCCTGCACTACATAGAACAACAATTCCTGGCTATCCCATTGCTCCCGGCAAACGGAGACCAATTGTTGTAACTTGGATGGCTGCTAGCAAGCTTTAAAGACCCCAGGAACTACGCAAGGAAGTAGGAGACAGAACAGAAGCACCAAGCACAGTATTAGGCCAATCAACCGGGATGTCCCCTGAAAACATGCCCCTAAATCTCCAAACCAGGAAAACAACTCCCATGAGGTGTTTGCCTGTACATCAGCAGCTGCTCTTTTTGTTGTTGTTGTAAAAATGGATATAACACAGCATTGACCAATTCAGCCTTTTCCAGGTACACAGCTTAGTGATATCAAATCACATTAATCATTCTGTGCAACCGTTACCCTTAACTGATGCCCAATTTCCCTCACCACAAACAGAAACTCACTGTTCCCAAACACCGGGCCCCCTTTCCCCCTCCCTCCCGCCCTGGTAACCACTGACAACTTTGGTATCTATACATTTGCCTATTCTTGACCTCTGAGTGAGCGCACACAGTATTTGTGCTTTTGTGGTTGACGTCTTTCCCTCAGCGTTGTCAAGGTTGGTCCATGTTGTATTTATCAAGAGTTCATTCCTCTTTGTGGCTGAGTTGTATTCCATTGTATGGCTATGCTGTTCTGTGCCATCAGATTGATTCTGACTCATAGCGATCTCGTCGGACAGAGTGGAAGTGCCCCACAGGGTTTCCTGGGCCGAAATCTTTACGGGAGCGGATCAGCAGGTCTTTTCTCCCGTGGAGCGACTGGGGGGTTTGAAATGCCGACCTTTTGGTTAGCAGCCAAGAGCTTTACCATTGCGTCACCAGGCTATCGTGAAAAGTACTGCAGTAAACATTGATGTACATTCAACCCAAACTATTTAAAGGCCCGTAGAACAGTGGCCCCTTAGGACAGGGACCTCATCTGAACTCAAGCCCAGTCTTAGTCCCTTACAGCTTCATTTCATCCTGGGCAGGGAGGCATTTGAATGGTGGGGGTCTCAGCTTGGCCACCAGGTGACCCCTGGTCAGCCTCCTGGTCAGCTCCCTGCCAACAAGCAGTCATTGCTCAGCACGGGGGGCCACGGAGCAGTGAGTGGGGAGGAGGAGGGACCTGCCCGGACCTGCAGCCTACTTGGGGGATCTCCGAGGATGAGGCCGGAAACCTAAACTCATGGCAGGTCAGCCCTGATTTCCACAAAGAAGGGGCATTTTCAAGTCTCAGCCTCGCCCAGACTTTGCCCCTTCCAGGGTGTAACCTTGTGTAGGGGCTGAGGCACAGGAGAAGCAGGAAGAGGGACAGTCCCCTCACTGTCTCCCCGAGATCAGGGGCAGCAGCAGGATCTCCACAGAGGCCCAGGGCGGGTGGGAGAGGCCGTTGGCTGGCGCCCAGCCTGGTGGCACTTGGTTTCTTTGCATTATTTCTCTGGGTCCTCAACGCTGGCATCGAAAGCCACAGTTCCGGCTCCCAGAGTCTCCATTAACCCTGGCCTTTTTGTGTGTGGAGGCGGATGCCCCTTGCAACCAAGTTCAGGCTTTATTCCTTTTTTTTTTTTTTTTTTTTAAAAAAGACGCTTTGTCTGTTTATTTTCAAATAAGCAAACAAAACCTAAGGCTAGAACGTCAAAGCTTCTCCCTGCCGGGTCCTGAGTGTGGAGTAAGGTCACTGGTTTTCTGGAGCTGCCGGAACAAAGACCACAAGCTGGGTGGTTAAGGAGAACAGAAATTTGTTCTCTCACAGTCCTGGAGGCTGGCAGTCCAAGATCAGGGTGTCAGCAGTGTTGATTCCTTCTGAGGCTCTGCGGGAGCATCTGTTCCATGCCTCTGTCCCAGCTTCTGGTGGCCCCAGGCATCCTTGGCTTGCTGATGCTGCATCATAAACGTCTTTCCTCTGTCTCCCGTTCTCTGTGTCTCTTCTGCTCTATTCTCAGGACACCGCTCATATAGGTTAGGGACCCCCGTACTCCAGTATGACCTCCTGTAAACCGATAACATCTGCAAAGACCCTATTTCCAAACAAGGTCAAGTTCACAGGTGCAGGGGTTAGGATCTCAACGTATCTTGTCAGGGGACACAGTTCAACCCACAGTACGTGAATACAGGGTGGCGTAGGAATCGTCAAATTGATGGTGGCGATTGAGAGTCCTCAGGGCTTGTGGCGGGGATGGGATTCAGAGGGGACTTGGTTGCGTCACCACGGAAGGGCCGAAAAGCCAGGCAGGCAGGTTTGCATTGGCTGCAGCGACAAATGGAGGTGTTTCGGGCTCAGGGCAGGTGGAGGACCAGGGAGGTGGTGTCTAAGGAAGACATCTGGCAGTGCGCGCCGGTGACACCCAGGAGGCCAGCGGGAGGCTGCCGTGTGGCCCAGGGGTGCCTCCGCTGGTGGCCGTACAAAGAAGGGGGGATCTGTCTGTTGGGTTCTGGAAGCCCCCACAATTGACCGCGGTGTCCCGTCTCTCCCCACTGCAGATATCAATGAGTGTTTGAGTATCAGTGCTCCGTGCCCTGCGGGGCAGACGTGCATCAATACAGAGGGCTCCTACACGTGCCAGAAGAACGTGCCCAACTGTGGCCGTGGCTACCACCTCAACGAGGAGGGCAACCGATGTGTCGGTAGGTATTGTTTAAGACTCTGGAACTGACGTTTCTCTCTGCTCCCAGCACGCACCCCCTTCTCTGGAAGAGGAGAGGAGAGCCACAAAGCGAAGCCATCCCCACTTGCCCGTCCAGCTCGCTGCCAATCCCCAAACATAGGCCTTTCTCGTCTCCTGCCTGGACTGTTGCAGTAGAACCTCAGCCCCTCCACGGCCCCCAGCCTACTGCCCTCCAGACCCAGTGAGGCCTGGAACCGAAAGCTCCTGTCCCCGCCCTGCTTGCAGCCCTCCCTGCTCGCAGCCCTCGTGGCTGCCCATTGCTGGCAGAGCAGAGCACAGACACCTCTCACAGTATAGTCCTTCCAGGCTGGCTCCAGCTGCACAAACCTTGTAATCCAAACTTCTCACATTTGTTGTTGTTAGGTGCCATCAAGCTGGTTCCTACTCAATAGCGACCCCGTGTACAACAGAACGAAACACTGCCCGGTCCTGCACCATCTTCACAATCATTGTTATGCTCGAGCCCATTTTTGCAGCCACTGCGTCAGTCCATCTCGTTGAGGGTCTTCCTCTTTTTCACTGACCCTCTACTTTACCAAGCATGATGTCCTTCTCTAGGGACTTGTCCCTCCTGATAACATCTCCAAAGTATGTGAGACCAAGTCTCTCCACCTTGCTTCTAAGGAGCACTCTGGCTGTACTTCTTCCAAGACAGATTTGTTCATTCTTCTGGCCGTCCATGGGATATTCAATATTCTTCACTTAGGAAGCCTAGCAAACGCTATGGGGCAGTTCTTCTCTGTCACATGAGGTCACCCATCAGTCGAAATTGACTCCACAGCACCCAACAACAACTCCCCAAACAAGCCCCTCCATTCGTCTGTGTGGCATTTTTCTCTTACATTATTCTCTCTGCCTAGAACCTGCCCCCACCTGCTCCCATCTTGGGGTCCAGGGCCAAGACATCCTCCTCCGCCCAGCCTGCCTGGGTCCCTGCCAGCCTAAGAGTTCCCTCCACCCTGTAACTCCCTGAGCATGTTCTCAGTGCCTGTCCCCTTAGCTAGAGTCACCGCTGAGTGGTCAGAGCAGGCGTCCCCGGGGGTAGGGGCTGCGTCCCTTCAGCTCTGTCTCCCCAGCATGGGGCCTGGACACAGTAGGTGCTCCACGAAATCCGTGTTAAAGAACAAGACGGAACTGCTTTGTGGATGAACACTCTAGTTTGCTCCTTTCTTGCCTCACGGTCTTTATATGTCTTTCTTTCTTCTTTGTCAGATATAGACGAGTGTTCATCGCCCTCAGAGCCCTGTGGGCCAGGGCATCTCTGTGTGAACTCCCCTGGAAGTTTCCGCTGCGAATGCAAGGCTGGTTACTATTTCGATGGCATCAGCAGGACATGTGTTGGTACGTGGGCATCCTGCAGGCCTCCTTGGGGCCTAGAGTGTCCCTGCCAGTACATGGGTGTCCCTGCCAGTACATGGGCGTCCTGCAGGCCTCCTTGGGGCCTAGGGTGTCCCTGCCAATATGTGGGTGTCCCTGCCGAGTACGTGGGTATCCTGCAGGCCTCCTTGGGGCCTAGGGTGTCCCTGCCAGTACATGGGTGTCCCTGCTGGTTTTGGGGCATCCCTGCCAGTATGTGGGTGTCCCTGCTGGTACATGGGTGTCCCCGCCAGTACATGGGTATACCTGCCGAGTACGTGGGTGTCCTGCAGGCCTCCTTGGGGCCTAGGGTGTCCCTGCCAGTACGTGGGTGTCTCTGCTGGTAGGTGGGTGTACCTGCCGAGTATGTGGGCGTACCTGCCGAGTACGTGGGTGTCCTGTAGGCCTCCTTGGGGCCTAGGGTGTTCCTGCCAGTACGTGGGTGTCCCTGCTGGTTTTGGGGCATCCCTGCCAGTATGTGGGTGTCCCTGCTGGTACATGGGTGTCCCCACCAGTACATGGGTGTCCCCACCAGTACATGGGTGTACCTGCTTGTCGCAGCGGCTTCGGTAATCGGGACGGCGAAGACAGTAACCAACGGCACAACTCTTACAGAGAAGTGGGGCCAGGAGGGTCACTCTGAGGAGTCGACCCCCACTTCAGTCCCAGGAGTTTATTTTATAGTCAATACAGCAATCAATAAGGCAATTAATGAAACAATGGGCTTTGAGTGGCAAGGAAGAAGGAATTCAGGTAAACAAGTCAATCAGTAAAGGGACAATAGGGTTTGGGAGAACACATCGGACAAGTCTCGACATGTTGGAGACAAGTCTCAACATGCTGTGCAGCAGAGGCCTGTGGGGGCTGCAGTTGTCAATAGTGCAGCCATGTTTAAATGGCATATATCCCCACACCTGCTGAGTACGTGGGTGTCCTGCAGGCGTCCTTGGGGCCTAGGGTGTCCCTGCCAATATGTGGGTGTCCCTGCTGGTGTGTGGGTGTCCCTGCCGAGTACGTGGGTGTCCCTGCTGGTTCGTGGGTGCCCTGCAGGCCTCCTTAGGGCCTGGGGAACCTGGCCGGTACATGGGTGTCCCTGCAGGCCTCCTTAGGGCCTGGTGTCCTGGCCAGGGGGGCACCAAAGAGACCCCAGCCCCTGGCACCGGGGTGGAGTGGCCTTAAACTTTGGGTCCATCATTGTTCTCTGCTCACCTCAGAAAACCCCAAGTCCAGGCAGCTCCCAGAGAAAAGACCCTGAGTCAGGAGACCCACGCTGTATAGTCCTGCCGCTGCCAGCCATGTGGCCACACCCGCCCCACCTGTGGAGCAGCTGCTCCAAATGTCCCCAATGTTCATGGTTTCCCAGACATTCACTGCCTACTTGCAGGGCCGCATGGCCAAGCTGTGCTGTCAGCCTAGGGCAACGAGAGCCACCAGGAGGGGCACCCTGCTGGGCTAGGCCCGTCACCCCAAACAAGGATTCCCCCAGGGGAGGCTGGTGTCTCCACCTCACCCCTTTGTCAGATCCTGGCAGACCCTCCTCCGGGCCAGGCCGGGCACTGGGCGGGCACATGTCCAAGGGTCCTCGGGAAGGTGTAAGGCCTTGCCTGGTGGGCAGGCCGGCAGACCGGGTGTGGTCTGCGCCCCCCCACCCCGCCCCCCAAGCTGCTTGCTGAGCTTTGGGGCGAGTCACTTGTACTTCTGCCTGAGCCGTGAGGCCGAAGAGGTGGGGGAGGTCTGGAGCTGCGGCCACAGACACTGGGCAGACTAGCCAGGGCACAGGGGGCTGCTGCGGTGGGACGTCGCCCCTGAGTCGCCTCCTCCTCTGCTTGCAGACATCAATGAGTGCCGGCGCTACCCCGGCCGCCTGTGTGGCCACAAGTGCGAGAACACACCTGGCTCCTACTACTGCAGCTGCACCCTGGGCTTCCGGCTGTCGGCTGATGGCCGGTCCTGCGAAGGTGAGGGCAGGCGGGGAGGGCTATCCTGCGGAGGTGAGGGCAGGCGGGGAGGGCGGTCCTGCGGAGGTGAGGGCGGGGCCGGGGAGGGCGGTCCTGGCGGAGGTGAGGGCGGTCCTGTGGAGGTGAGGGCGGTCCTGTGGCGGGGAGGGCGGTCCTGTGAAGGTGAGGGCGGGGCCGGGGTGGGCGGTCCTGCGGAAGTGAAGGCGGGGCCGGGGCAGGCGGTCCTTTGGAGGTGAGGGCCGGGCTGGGGCAGGTGGTCCTGTGAGGGTGAGGACCAGGCTGGGGCAGGGCTGGGGCAGGGCTTGTCCTGCTGAGCTGGGGGCGGGGCCTATCCTGCTGAGGTGAGGGCGGGGCCGGAGCAGGGCTGGGGCGTGGCCTGTCTTGCTAGATGAAGGCGGGGCCGGAGCAGGGCTGGGGCGGAGCCTGTCCTGCTGAGGTGAGGGCGGGGCCGGAGCAGGGCTGGGGCAGGGCCTGTCCTGCTGAGTTGAGGGCGGGG